AATTAACCTTTGATGGGAAGCCCGTGCGATGGCTCAGTGCCCAGATATAGGAGAGGCCCACTCAACATGACTATCAAATGCATCTTTTAGATTACAGGCATGCAAATATTTGCTGTGTTGCATTAAAGTGGACAAATTACAAGAGTTCCACCACATGTTTAAGTCATGGCTGTATCTTGTGACCCAAAGCTTAACTTAATTTATGTAATATACATTAAGCAGGAAATATTTGCTCACTCGTTTTAAACTCCATTGACTAAAATGGGAACCTTTTCTGAAAAGTTCTGATGTTGGAGCGGCATGCTGGGAAACACATAACTTCATATAAGCATCGGTTTGTATGATAGAATTTTCCATCTATGATTTTGCAGCCAATTGAGGGACATTAGTAACATCATCAGACTAACCGATGCAACCAAGTAATCATTTGTATTTTTTGATCTGTCATTGCCACAAACTGCTCCTTTCTCCATGTGATTGTGGAAAGTAAAAGTAAAAGACTGAAACTACCATGTTTAATTCTACACAAAATATGTGGAGGCAAAGAAAAATTTACTGCTACTTCTGACAAACACTCTTTACCTGGAAGACTCTGCATGTTGTAATCACTAAATGGCCTTAAAGAGACCAAAACATTTATCCAAATTAGCACAGCTACCACAGAGATAGAGAGAGAGACACCCACAACCTCTCGCATCCTCATGTACAACTAATTTAAAGTCACCAATTAACCTAACAAGCAACTCTTTGGACTGTGGGAGGAAACTGGACCACCCACACATGCATATTCTGCACAGAAAGGCTCCAGCTGAGCGAGGTGACAGCGCTAATCACTGCACCACTGAACTGCCCCTAAACAAATTATTTCAATCAGTACAAAGAACAAAAACCAAACTAAGAACAACAATTTTGAGTGTGTCTTTTGGAGATTGGAGAGATGACCTGAAGAAAACGCGGTACCAAATCATCATACTTTAACAGAAAACATCCTTTGAGTTTATGAGTAGCGAACCTCTGTCGCTATTTCAAAATACTGACTATCGCTATCACTGCATGATAAAGACTTCCAAATAGATAGCTGAATGTGACAGACAGCAGCCCAGCTATCTATGTTTATGATAACAGGAGATGATAACTCACTTTCATCGTTACTCCTGATGGGCTGACGTTTCTGAAGCTTCTCCTCTCCCACACTGAAATGCCGCAGCAGGACTTTGTGCTGTGTGGGAATTTTAGGTTCACCGTTTAGGTTCACAGACATTTGAAAAAACACAAACTTTAATTTGGAACCAAAAGAGTCGGTCTTATACCTTTTTCTGTGAGGATCTGGCATCTTCAGCACTGAAGAATAAAATAAAAACATTTTTAAAAAAGAGTTAATGACTCTTTAGTTAAGTTTGATCGTTATCTAAAGAGCCTTTCTGCTTTAAATTCTCAGCACTAACCACATACAGCACCTTTCATCCATATCAAAACCTAAAAACAAAAAAAACAATGCTCTGACTTACTTGCGTTTTACTATTCTTTCCAGTTCTGTTAGTTGATCCCTGAGGGCTGGAAAGGCTTTGGCATCATTAGATACTGCCATGAAAAACTCCTGCAAAACACAGCAAGCTCTGAGCAAAACAATGATTCAGAAGAACTAATTAAAACT